ACAAAAAATTGTTAAATTTAAAAATTTTAAAACTTTATTAATTCTCGCGGCTCAATGATTGAATTATTTTTAATCAATTCGATTTATAGCAATCGATATATAATAATGCATAATTAATAAATTTGAATCTTCATTTCTAACTCAAACATCAAATTTCACGTATATATATCTTGAAGGTTAATATATGATAACTGGGTCATTTTTTAATCAATCAATTTAACAATCAATAATAGTAAATAATAGCAAGGGCTAATTGGATAAATTTGGACCATTAATGGATTATTTCTAATCCAAACTATGTATTCCATGATTAATATCGGTTTGGAATATTATATGTATATAATCTGATAATTACAATAATTTTAATAAATAAGAAATAAAATAAGAAAATATTAAAAATCTCAAAATCCTTTAAAATTTAATTTTTCGAGTTCTCTAGTCGAAATGAATTTGTTTAGACTCTAGATTTATTTTAAATAATATAATTTCACTTAAAATTTTAAAAATTTAAAAAATAATTTTATAAAGTAAAATAAAACAAAAATCAGGAATAAAAAAAATTATGTTTTCAAATTGTTATTTTTTAATTATTAATTATTAATTATTATATTTTTTAATTATTATATATTTAAAAATTTATGAAAATCTATGAAATCTTCCTATACAAATGAATGTAGGGCATTTCAGTAGCAGACAGAACAGTTCTCAAATCTTAATCAACAGCAAAAAGAAAGACTAAGATATAAACAAATTGTAAACGAACCCATACAATTTCATAAGAAAAGTTACCATAAAAATATTATCAAGAACAATTTTCGAAAGTTTTCTCAAATACATTTGCACTTAAATTTGTATTAAAAATATATAATTTTAAAATAAAGTTCATTACAGTTAACATTTCATTCAGTCTATAAATTTATCCACTTAAATAATTAATAAATAAATATACACCATAGTTTTTTGCAAAAAATTAAGAAATTTAAGATCGTCTTATAATCTGTCTTACAATCCTCTTTGCAAAACTTAGAATACAAAAATCTATATAAATTCCAAAAAATTTATATGTCCAACCAAAAAATAAATAAATTATATATTTCTGAAAGAAAATTGCAAAAAATTAAATTTTAAACTTGAGTAGATCAAATATTATATGAAGAATTTAACTTGTTTTTATTGTAGTCAAATTGACTTTAGATCTTTTAATGACATTTTGATATATATTCTCAAATACTGCTGCAAAAGTTTTCTAAAAACCATATTTTTGCTATATTACAAATCAATTATCTAAATGCATAAAATTTTTTTCTTTATACATAAAAAAACAATTTGAACGAAAAAATAAAAAATTACTAATTAACTTTATTATTGAATAAAATATAAATTAATGAATAATTATATGATAAAAATTATAATAATTCTTGAAATATTTGGTTGTCCTTTAAAAATATATTTTTTTTACTTTTTTTACGAAAATTTTACAAGATTTTAACTAGTTAAAATACCATGAGTTGGTGGTCGAAGACTTTATTCAAAAAGAAAAATTTATGACTTCCATTGCCATTGTTTTCATTTTGTGTGTCAAACACGAAATTGAAAAGGGCAATCACGATATCTAGATATGACCATTGAGAAAATGGATATACTTCACCAGATGTGTTTGAAAAACATTTTTTTTCATACCATATTTCGCGATATTTCTTAATTATTTATGCAATGAAAAAATTAGATTCTATTGCAAATTTTTATTGTCTCTTTCCGATTAAATAATTTCATTTTGCTTAAAATTTTTTAGTAATTTTTTTTAAACTACGATGGATTAAAATAAAATCAATAAATTGATTATATTATATAAATTTGCTGAAATCGTCACAAATTGTAACGACTTCATGTTTTGAATATTTTATGTTCAAAATTCAAAAAATTATATTTTTCAAATATTATTCAATGCAAAAAAACGGGTAAAAAAAAATAATTAATGATTTATTCGTGAAAATTTGTATCTAAAAAACAACAACAAAAATTTACAATTATAATAAATTATATAATTATAATAATTTTTTAATTATAATAATAATTTTTTTTATTTTTTTTTAAACGAAAATAAAAAAAGAATATCTTGAAATGAATAAAATAATAAAAATTGGCGCATAAAATTTAAAAAATATAACAAAAAAAACAAGAATATTCTTCAATTACACGTAGAATTGTATCCAACATTGTATCAAATTTTTCAATAATCCTGTCCAGATATCGTGACTATTCTTTTTTAATTTTAAATTTGATATACAAAATAAA